GTGATCTACTCCAAAAGAAGATACCCAATACTTGCTTGTCACCTCAGTGGTGTGTTCTTTGTAAAGCGGATGGGGAGACTGGTTTTCACCTACTGGTGTCTTGCCATTTTCTGAGGTCAATTTGGGATTGGGCTTTCTCCTTATTTAGATGTAGCTAGAATCCTCCATCAGACTTGCAGGGCCTTTTTTCCCCTTCTTTTTCTAGGTGGCGGATAAAAAGGGGAAGGACTATGTGGAGAGGACTAAGGGCTGCAGTATGTTGGACACTTTGGGAAGAAAGAAACTCCAGGATATTATCAGAAGCTGAGAGAGGAGCAGCAGATCTGAGGGCTATCATACATATTAGGGTAGTACAGTGGCTCAAATCTTTGGAGCTATTCACAGATTACACTTTGGATGACATGTTGAGGAAGTGGGGTGAAATTGCAAATTGCACACAGACCAAGTCATTAATGAGTGGCTTGGACCCCTCCACCTGGTGGATTCTTGAAATTAAACTTTGATGGGTGTAGTAGGGGAAATCCAGGACAATCGGGGATTGGGGGTGTTTTTAGGGATGAAAATGGGGTCATTTCTACCATTTTCTCAGGCCCAATTGGAGTGGGTGACTCCCTTAGAGCTGAGATCTTTGCAGTTATGGAAGGAGTTCGGAAAGCTAAGGAGTTGAACATCAGGAAACTCATAATTGAAGGGGATTCAGAGGTGGTGATAGGGTGGTTGATTAAATATCACAATGGCTTATGGAAGTACAACAATGAGAGGAGGAAATTCAAGTGGCTGGTGCGGGAGATGGAAGTTAAGACATGTTGGGTTAAAAGATCGGCTAATTCCCTAGCTGACAGTTTAGCTAAACAAGGGGCAGAAAGGGATTCATTGTTTTGGGCTAAGCTGTAACTTTAGTGTTTTTTTTTTCGTTTTTTTTCCTTTTTTTGAGGTTCTTTGTTGCTCTTGGAAGATAAGTGTGTTTGTCTTCCTCTTGTAAATCTTCTATTGATGATTTAATGAAAGTGTTATTGATCAAAAAAAAACTTTACACAGAACCTCGAACACAATGATGTAAGTCATTTTCTCTTATACTCTATGAAAAGGTAACCTTTGTTGTAAGACACAACATTTATCTTGCCTGGCATATTCACATGTTACCTAAGATCAAAAGTATGTAAACCTACTACATTATTATAAAGAAGGAACCAAGCTTACTATATGTGGAAGTGGATCCAAATGATATGGAGTGACATCATAATCCTCAGCATATGCAGTGAAATTCTTTGTCAAGCCTTCAAGTGACAACACAAGTGATGAAATCCCTCCTTGCATGGAGTCTAGCTCATTCTGGAGCTTATCAACTTTGCTATTAGATGTCATTGCCTCCCATTGTAACTTCTCAAGTGCTGCTTGCTTATCTGCAAGCATAATCTGTGGAAGAGAAAGATATTAACGAGTAATGACGTAAGGTAATTTGCACAGATAATCATGCATGCATGCATTTATGCAACTATGCACTCACATATATAAACCAACCAAAAAATATTTGGTGTTGGCACTTGGTACTGCTTAATGTTGTGGCATCAAAAGCTGAAATTGGAAATAAGAATGCAACATTTATGCGTATGTCATAAAAGCATACCTAATCCAATGTATAATTAGCACTGAATTTGGGTCACAACAAAGGACTGATAGCACCCAAGGTTCAGAGAACTGACCCAGAGGCTGAACCGTTTTCCCCTCCAGGTTGTGGGTGAGCTGAACCAGTCAACCTGTGACACATCATCCTATATATATATAATATAGCATAATATATAATATATGTAATATGCATAATTATATAATGTTATACATAATAATATTAAATTATATATATATTCAAAATATAAAACTATATTTTGCATAATTATGGCCAGTTTTTCTAACCCCGGTTTTTAGAGCCAAACCAAACTGCCAGGTGGATGACAGTGGTCAGTGGACTGGTTCACAGCTTTTTTGTCAGACTAGCCGATCCAGTCCAGCTCTCTGAACACTGATAGCATCATGTGTTGTGTAAATATGCCGATTGTTCATCAAATGTTCAGAAGATTAATTCATGAAGTATCCAGAACATTCCATTGTGTTTCAAAAGTTTAACATCCTTGAATACGCAACTATGTTTGAGAGGAAGGAGATTGCAGGAGATGAATGACAAGCAAATTCCATTATTTTTTCTACCCCTCCATGACTTCAGAATATATGCAGTAGGTTACCATGCTATTCATCTTATTTTAGAACCTGGAATAGATTAATGGGAATAACTGAAAAAGGAATATTATTTTTTGGTAATAAATGAAAAAGAAATATTTATCGAGTAATAAGAAGAAGAGTACAAGAATGTGACAAGAAACCACCCAACGAAAGAAGCAACAAAGATCCAAAAGCATCCACCCACCTCTAAGACCAAAGAACACAGACACCCCAATACTAACAAAAAAACAAAGCATCTAAAACTAAAATGCCAACAAATTTGAAGACACAATCCTCCAGCTTATACCAAATTGCCAAAAAACCAACCTACAAAACCCTCCACACCCATCAAATGACAAGACCTTCCTCCCAAATGACTAGTGCACAGCTATAATACCCAATTATTCAGCACCTCCTGAGCCTTCACCAGTTCCTTCTTTACTTCTCTTAAAAGCACTCTTGTTTTCTTCACCTTTTTAATAGGCCCCATCCCGAATAAGCCCACCTTCAATCTAGCAAGAACTTTTGACATCTGGACAGTTCGTTGACTCCTCTGTCTTCTGAATCTTCTTACCACATCAGGGATTGCTCTGTTGCCGACTAACCATCCTTGTTGACATCATTCCCTGTAACTTCAGGAGGTTTTGCTCCATCTTGATCATCTTCTTTCCTTGCAGCAGAGCTCATCACCTTAGGATCCAAATTATCTTTCTCCCTTTCCATTAGAGGCATAGGATGCCAGTTCCTTAAATTTTGTCCTTGCAAATTCCTCCCCTTGGATGCCTCTGATAAAGAACAAACCCAAAGATTTACTCACCTCCATTTCTATTTTCACTACTATTTCCAGGTCAACTGTTTTTCCAAGGGCATGTGTTTTATCCATTACAACTTCATCTTCATTTCTAAACTCTTCATCATCTATTACTAGCTTCATTCTTTATTTCTTTTTTTCTCTCATACATTTTTGCACCTATCACCCCTGCACCCATTATTTTCAGTCTCCTCTTCACCTTCCAGTTTGTCCACCTTCGTCTCCTTTCTTGCTTCTTCTTTCTCTACAAAACTACCATCTCCTTCATTATCCAGATCCATCTTTGATATGCCTTCACAAACCCTTACCTCTTCTTCACCTTCAACAAGATTTTCCTCCACTGGATCTTTGGGACTGCTAGACCTTCGGGCTCTAAATTTGTTCTGTATGTAACACATCTTTCCATTTGAGCTGATAAAAAAAAAACACATCTTTCCATTTGAGCTGATAAAAAAAAAAACACATCTTTCCATTCGAGCTGATCAAAAAATACACATCTTTCCATTTGAATTTTTTTACTGTTCTCAATATTGAGGAGTTTCATCACAACTAACCTCTTTTTCATCTTCCTCAATAACCATTGACTTGATCTCACCTCCTTTTTCATTCTCTTGCAAATTTTCTTTTGGACCAACAGCTTCAGCTTATCCCTTCACACTTGTCTCTTCAAGTTCTAATCTCTTCTCACCATGTCTTTGAGGACTTCAACCAGATAAAATGCTCTTTTGTTTATCTTCCTTGTACCTGGAAATAAATTTCATAATGCACTAGACATAGTCCCCCTCACATTACAATCTTCAGGTCTTTCTTTTCTCTTTTCCTTCTCTCCCAGTCATTTTGGATTAGATCTCGCCCTAGCTGCAACTCCCTAACCACCAACTGGGCCCAAGTCCTGTCAAAGTTTACCCACTCCTACCACCATTACAACTTAAAACGCAAAATAGGCCCAACTCTATTTAAACGCTCACCCAACCCACCACGATGTACAAAAGTATATGGCCCACATTGCTTCCCCCATTTCTCCAGACTAAGAACATTACTCTGCCTACTTTTAAAGTCAAAAACAGTTTTCACCCTGTCCCCCTTATCTGCTGAAATCATAACTTTGCCCTTTCATCACCCTGACCTTTCATCTTCATCCCTAACCTCCTACCCTCCTTGCCGAAACTCCACCTGTTCATCTTCCTCACCCCCCAACGTCCTCTTCTGACCTTCTCTCAGATCAAACTTATTTTTCTTTTACATCCCTCTCGAAAATGAAACAACAAAGATTGGATATGTTCCTTGAGGCACTATTCTCAATTAGAATTGCTTCCTTGCATAAAGTTGATTCTTATCAAGTGCAAATCTTCAACTTCAATCAATATTTTCACGTACCTTGCCTGAATCTAGAGCCTATTGCAAAAATCATGCCTCCGAAATTTTCCCACAGCGTGGCCAATCAATCTGAAAGTTTGGGTACTCCAAAAATGCAATGGAATCCCCACCACACGTATCCAAACTAATGTTGTCTCCTGTGAAGGCTTCAGCTGCCCAACCATCGGTATCCATCTATCAATTCTTAACTCTGGATATCTCAAATGCCTCTTCTCTCCCTATCCAAAACTCTCACTACTCCTTTTATCTTGAAGCTAAACAAAAGTAATCCTGCATTTAACCTTCTTCCTGTGAGAAGCCAAAATGAAACCACTTTGTGTGCACCCATCTCTGAATGTCAACAATATCTGGATCTGAGTGAAAAAAGTAATCCTGCATTTAACCTTCTTTCCGACAACTTCCCAATCCCGTTAACCACCACTTCGGCCAACACCATCACCTCCTTTTTTTTGTTCCATTATCATGACAAACGAAGAATTACCTCTCAAGTCATTATCATAGAATTATGCTAGAACTCTAATAAGCTAATTGTAAATCATCCAATCTTTGCAACACACATTTCACTATGACTCCAATAGGTGTGAAATAAATGTCTAGATGTTTGAACACACCAAACCCCTGATTTACCAGTTTTCTTCAATCATCAACAGATCAGAATAGTTTCATCATGAAGGAAACAAATCAATAGAAAATTTTTCTCCCTGCAAGGAGAAAAGGAAAAACCATTTCTGGCTTACCCACCCAACATGCAAACAAAGCCCAACTGTCTACTGTCTACCCTAGTACGGTAGACCCACAATACAATCCCTCCCTATCAACTTCCCTTTTGCCAACATGTTAGCCATATTAGTCACCCTCTTTTACCAGTTAATACAATGTACGATAGAAATTTTCATGTAGTATATGGTAGTAATTATGCAATTAGGTTTACACAATGTATAATAGAAATTTCCATGTGGTATATGGTAGTAATTATGCAGTTAGGTAGCCTAGAGGATCACTTTGGTAGATCTGCATGCACTGAATGCTGATTTATAACTCCTATGCTTGTCAGAAAGTTGAATGATAAGGGCTGGAGCTTTTTCAAGTCCTCCTAATGCAAACTTTCACCTGACCAACAATAACTACAAGTATGAATCCTCTCATTTCCACAGAATAACAATATATAATATATAATATAACTAGTGGTGGGGGAAAGAGAAATAACTGGTGGTTGTACTTTATACATAGAAAAACATATAACCGCTATGAGACAATGAAGCAATGAGCTAGGTACATGATGAATAGACAACTTAAGAAATACAAAGAAACATACCTTTACATCATAGAGCTGAGAATGAGTAGTTCTGATTAAGGAGTCTTTCTCTGAGGTCTGGCATCTCAATTCTTCAAGTTTTGCTTGGACTTCAGCTATTTGATTCTTTGAATTCTCTGCCAATTTCAGGAGCTCATCTTTTTCTGATAATTTCTTCTCTAGATCTTGCACTTGTTTCCGCAAGATATTCAGCTCTTCCCTTTCCTTTTCTGCTACCATTGCCCTCGATGAGAAAATTGAGAGTTCATCAGAACAGACATCTTGGCTAGCAGTTTTGCTTCGAACTTTATCACTAATTTCCCTTGTTTTTTTGGTTGGAATAGATTGAGCTGCTTTCCTACCTTTTGGATCACCAATCTGAAATAGGTTAATAATCAAGATTAGGATATTCTATTAGTGAAAACTGAAGCCACACCTGACATTTATGCAGAAAATATCTAAATGCCAGGTTAATTGAACTCCATTAACAGCAGATTTGATTTAGATTAGACGCAAAGCAATATGGAAGTTCCAAAAGGGAAGGATAATGTTCATGTTAGAGTGAGCCGAATAGGGGTAGTTTAGTAATCTCATGTCAGTTAAGTACTT